TCTATCTATCTATCTATCTATCTATCTATCTATCTATCTATTTATTTCTGGCCCTCACACCTCACATCTGAGGCAGGAGAAGCTGCTCTTTCCCACAGACCCCCTACTTCTGGTGTCACTTCTCCTCTCAAGTACCGACTGGGATCCTCTGAAGTGACAACTCGCACCTCACAGAGGATATATACAGCAGGAACACGCTCCACCAGAAACCACAACCTCATTCAGCAGAGAATTTCTCAACTCTGCAGCCATGGATATCTCCAGCTCTTCTCTTCAGCTCCAAGACAGCAGCGCTTTCCTGTTTGGCTGCGAGAACCTTCTGGATCAGAGCTACGCCGTATCAGATGCAGGCTACTACAGCGCCTGCAGCAGTCTGTCTCCAACCGCTTCCATAGATTCCTGCGGCTTCTCCCCTCCAGCTTACTCTAGCAGAGCGGGACAGGACATACTTCAGATCTTCCCACATGTCAGCATCCCCACCCAGGAGAAGAGCCAGGTCCAGCCACCCAAGAGAACCGGACGGCCAAGGTCAAAATTCCCTGGAGTGAAGCGGCAAACCGCAAGTGATCGGGAGAAGCTGAGGATGAGAGATCTGACGAAAGCTCTTCATCACCTCAGGACGTACCTGCCTCCTTCAGTGGCTCCTGTCGGAAAAACCTTGACCAAGATCGAGACACTGCGGCTCACTATCCAGTACATCTCCTGCCTGTCCGCTCAGCTTGAACTCAGTGAAGACGAGGCAAATCGTGGAACTCAGGCCGAGGTCAACGCTGCATCAACCAACTTTGACGGCTTAACTGTGACCCCTTCAGTTACTCAAAGTTTACCAGCTCAGCGGTTCCCATCTATGACCTGTTCTCAGGTATGTACATGGTACTTCAACAGCATTTATATACTATTTTAAATAATAATGTTTATTATAAAATATTAAAACATTTAGTTAATTCAGACTTTATAGGCAATATTGCACTGTGTGTGTGTGTGTGTGTGTGTGTGTGTGTGTGTGTGTGTGTGTGTGTTATAACTGAGATACTATTATAGTTTCTATTTTTAATTTTTGTTAAATATTTTAGTAATTTTGTTCTGTGTTTTTGTCATTTTTATTAGTTTGGGGATTTTTTTCTATATAGTTATTATTATTATCATTAGTTATTTGTTTTTTTATTAGTTAGGTTTAGTTGGTTTCCTAGGCACCTAGCTTTAAATTTTATTTTTATTTTGACATGGCACCTTCATAATCCTAACATGACACCTACATAATCATGGCATGACACATGTCATGAATATGAAAGGTTTTTTTGAATGTTTTTGACAACTGTCATTAAATGTCATTCGCTCAGTTATGTCATTTTTAATACAAAGATGACATTGTTTGAGATGTCTTTGTTATGCGCTATGGTTAGGGGTAAGGGTAGGGGTAGGGTTAGGTTAGGGTTAGGTCAAATAATGTCATATTTGCATTAAAAATGACATAACTGAGCGAATGACACTTAATGATATTTGTCATAAACATGCATAAAACCTCCTTCATATTCATGACATATGTCATGTCATGATTATGTAGGTGTCATGTCAGTCTTATGCACACCCCTTCAAGTAAAGTGTTACCAAAAATTTTATTAAATTTTAAAAAACGCTCCTGTTCTTTTTCTTAATTTGATCTGTATTTTATTTTTCCAGACTCCAGTCGAAGGTGATTTCCATTCATTCCCAGCTCAAGATTTTTGGTTTCTCGAGCAACACAATGTCTTCCAAGGACAGTGCTGATGAAAATGGACTGAATTGCACATCTTAATGCAAATATTAATTTGTGCAATGTTTGTAAGAAAATGAAAGACTTTATATTTGTAAATGTTTGTACAGCTATTTATATTTTTCTATGTTTAAAAATATATTAATATTTATGAATCTTCTGGAAAATAAAGCCTTGAAACATCACTTTTGTGATTTGTTTTATACATACAGATGATTCCAATACTATGCCCTTTAAACAATGTACACCATAAAGCAGATCCAGTTAAGCAGCATCCTAATGAGAGACAGCTGTGATGGTCATTCCACGACGTTGTAACTCACACATTTAAGGAAACACCCCTGCAGAGTGAGCATTAATGTGGGAAGGAAAGTAAACTAACTCTCACAGGTGAGATCCTTTAATACCCCTCAGACTGTAAACGAAGCTCTGTGTGGGCTCTTCTTCTGAAATGCAAGGTCTGATGCCTCTTTCAAGCAAAAAAGATCAACTGACTTGTTTCCTGATACCTTAAATTTTCTTTTATCTTGAGGAACTAGGAAAAGTTCACCCAAAACTGAAAAATTGCTGAAAATTCCATTGGACCATCCAAGATTTAGCTGAGTTTGTTTCTTCATTGGAACAGATTTAAAGGAATTTGGCATTACATCACTTGCTCACTAATGGATCCTCTGCAGTGAATGGGTGCCGTCAGAATAAGAGTCCAAATAGCGGACAAAAACAACACAAATATTCACAAGTAATCAACTATATTTAGTATCTATTCCATAAATTAACATCTTGTGAAGTGAAAAGCTGCGTGTTTGTAAGAAACAAATCCATCATTAAGGCATTTTAAATTTAAACCATCACTTCTGGCCAAAATACAAGTTTATAATCCATAATAATGCTTCCTCCATTCTGACGGCACCCATTCACTGCAGAGGATCCATTGATGATCAAGTGATGTAATGCTAAATTTCTCTAAATCTGTTCTGATGAAGAAACAAGCTCATTTACATATTGGATGGCCTGAGAGTGAGTACATGTTCAGCAAATTACACATTTTGGGTGAACTATTCCTTTAAGTACCCATGGTGCCAGTAATAAGGCGACATGATGAGAATCTCATGATGCAACGTCCATGTCAGACTGCACAACAACAGCAAAAATCTTGCTGTGACTGCATTAAAGATATAAATAGCACCACTAGTGACGTGAGTGACAGCTGTTCTTCAATGTCCATTTATAAGTGGTAAAAGGCGTAAGATTCTTAAAGGTGACAAGTCTGAAGCTGCTTTCAGACACCATGATAATGAATCACTTCCTCACCCTCCCTTCCTCCCATTTGTGCTGTCTTGTCTACTTCCTCTGTTGAGTCTCTAATGACACAGAAGAATTAACCATGTTCATCTAGTTACAGAAACAAGAAGTCCTGTAATGTGTTGTTACATCTTGGCCTGTGTTATTGAAGGTCCATTCCACTGTGGATGCCGTTAGTTCATCTTTCAAAAGGCAATGAAACTACTTGTTCTATGAAGAATTGCCAATAAATCATAAATGAAGAAATGATAAGCATAAATGACAGGACATTATAAAACGGATGATTATGAACACAAAATATATTTGATGTTTATTGCAAAATATTTAAATGCGTACAAATATATATATATATTTATTTTTTTTTGAGCAAAGGAAGATTGACATCAGAATTATAAGCGACTACATAATAAAATACTGCTAAATATTTAAGTGATCTAATTTAATAATCAAAGGCACAGAACAGCTGATAATCAAACTTGATAAGAAAATGTCTGTATTTATCTTCAAAATATAAATATATGCAATACTTATGTTAAGTATGAAAATATTATACAGAAACATTTATAATGAGAGTGATTAGGCTGACTGTTCAATCAGCCAGTTCATCACTTGCACTTTGTTTTCTGATACCCATTTAATGTTGGCTTTTGTCTGTTCAATGGCCTGCTCTATTGCTTGCGTACCAAAACTAAAACTGCTTGCTGCAATGTCCTCTTTAAATCGCTGCAACTGTGATTTGTCAAAAAAACAGAGAGAAAGAAAGGGATAAGTACACACATTTCCATATTTTCTATATATGTGCCACACATCTCAAGAAAAAAATGTAAAAAGTTGTGATTAATCGTTTGACAGCACTAATATATAATTATATATATAAAGAATATAGCATCACAACAGATCATTAATCTTAAGCTTAAATTTAAAATACAAAATATTACATTCATACACTGTTTAAAAGTCTGAGGTCAGTAAGATTTTTTAGAAATTAATAATTTGAAATAATTTAAAATTGACGTGTTTATTTAGCAAAGACGCATTAAATTGATCAAAAGTTACATTATATATAAATATATTTAATATAAAAATATAACATATTTTTCTTAAATATATATACGTGCATGAGTGTGTATTTATATATAAATAATAAATATACACAGTACACACACATATATGCAAGCAAAAACTTTTATTTTGGATGCGATTAATCGTGATTAATCGTTTGACAGCACTAATATATAATTATATATATAAAGAATATAGCATCACAACAGATCATTAATCTTAAGCTTAAATTTAAAATACAAAATATTACATTCATACACTGTTTAAAAGTCTGAGGTCAGTAAGATTTTTTAGAAATTAATAATTTGAAATAATTTAAAATTGACGTGTTTATTTAGCAAAGACGCATTAAATTGATCAAAAGTTACATTATATATAAATATATTTAATATAAAAATATAACATATTTTTCTTAAATATATACATGCATG